ATAAACATAACTTATTATTAAAATAAAGGAGCAAAAGTTTTTATAAACAAATTTTAACAAAAAAAGATCAATAAAAATATATACATACTTATTAAAATCTTTTAACTACGTCTTCTATTTATAGATGTAGTTAAATATAATTTTTTTCTAAATCAGTTTTAAAAAACCAAAATCTTTAAAGAAAGATATTGCAAAGACAATTATTACGCAACTTAACAAAATCATAATTAAATTTTCAAACAAACTTGGTAATGCGAGTAGAAAATTAAATTATATTTTATATACCTATTAGCTAATAACAAAGTAAATTTCAAATAATTAAAATCTACTAAATTAAAACCATGTTTTAACAGTAGACAAATTAAACTAATGATAGTTAGTAGAACACCAAAATAGAACTAAAGAAATAACAATAACAAAAAGTAAACATGTTTGTAATATAAAAACTTTAAAATCAAACATGAAAGATAACTCTACCGTCTTGAGATAATAAAAGTAGAAATAAAAAATTAATAATAATAATTAAATGTGGTATACATTGGTAGTTTTTTGTCATTATTACCTTCATATCTAAACAGAAAAATACAAACTGCAACGCCACAACAACTTAGCAAATAATATAATATACTTAATCTAATTAAGTAAATCTACAACTTCATCACATCAAAATGAATATAAACTATTGAACTAAAGATTAAAATAAATTAGAAATGAAAACCTACAATATGCGATAAGTGTGTCACTAAAATAAAAATAACAAACTAATATACCATTATTTAATTTTAAAAATTTTGTATAAAATTTTTTTTTTGAATTAAAAGCTAAAAAGCAAATAAGAATTTTTTTAAATAAAATTTTTAAAAGTAAATTTAACCTTATAAAATCTAATCTGTGGTGGTACCACAGACAACAACACTGTACTAAATAACTAGATTTATACAAAACATAATTGAATATCTTACAAAATTATTTAAAACTAATAAAAAATAAAAAACAACTTTCTTATATTTAAAATAAGGCCATCATCAGTTTCTATAAAATTAAAAAGCCTGTAAAGATACAATTTCAATTCATCAACTACAAAACAGAACATGTTTCATCAACTAAAACATTAAAAAATTAAACTTTAGTAACTTTAAAAACAGATAAATAAAATTACAAAAAATACATTCAATTTTATTTATAAATAAAGTTCAATAATAATATTATTTATGATAATGATAATAGAGAAATTCAAAGATATTTCAGAGATTTATAAAGGTTAAATAATAAATACAGAAAACCACATGCACATTTACAATGACTTCTGCATTATCAGTTATTAGCATCCTAGTTAACACATCCAATATTATACATATATTTTTATTTTCTAAATTGTGTTATTGTTGCGCACTCAGTTTAAAATGTTTAATGGGGGCATGGTAAAATAGCTGTAAACCTCCAAATTTCCTTATTACCTTGATATTAAGTATTTTTAACTTTTTATTAATTTTAAACAAAACAACTTTAATGAAATGTTTTATTTCAAATATAAAATTAGAATTTTCAATTATTTTCTTAATCTTAATACATACTTTTTAAGACCCCTTTACTGTTAAGGTTGACACGTGGCAAGTTCAAATCATTGTTTTTTTTTTCAAATATTTTGTTTTTTTAAATGCAAAACAAAACAATTTTATAGTTCTATAGATTTTATATTCTATATATACATATTATACACCCTTTTTCTTTCACGAACTCAATTAGTTATAGAAAACTTGAAAAGTAAAACTAAAAACCTAAATTAAACTTTACCATTTCCATAATTTGAAATTTACATTAGTTCAGTACTTGCATACACTTTCGTTTTCATTTTCTAATAAAAAAGTGCTGAGACACTCTTTCTAGCTCAGTTTTAATTGCTGCTGTAATTTCTGCATCTAACACTCACAAATGAACATTAATACTATTATTATTATTAATAAGTTGCAAAAAATTTGATAAATAAATATGATGCTATTATAGTGCAATTATAATGTTGCAAATGGAAAATTTGATTTTTTTAATATTTGTCAGTTATTTTTTGACATTACAGTTGCTTTTTCATTGTTAAGACAGTAACACAGAACATAAAAAAATTATTTTTTCTTGTAGTTTATGCATTTTATTTATTTTATTAGATGAGTTTTAAACAATATTAAAACTTATTGTTACATTATTACTTTAGTTGCTATGCTTAGTGGTAAAGTATTTGATTCTTACCTAACCTACACTTAATCAATTTTTTTTTTTTTTTACATTATTCACCTCCCCAAGGCCCGAGGGGGCCACTACAGTCGAGGAGGCTACTCATTTTTTTGTGTTTTTTATTTTTTTGTTGTATTTCGTGGTACAACCCTCTCTCAACTCTTTAACTCCGAAACACGAACCTTGACAAGCAAGGCCGCTGCGCGGAGAAACTAAGTTGAGCGCGGTACTTCCAGGGACGTGGTGGGAGTCGAACTCCGAACCTCTCGCTTACAAAGCGAGCGCTCTTACCACTACACCACTGCCGCAATTAAGACAATACACAACTTTTGTTTTAAGGTAAATAAAGAAAATGGCTCTCTTCCACCATTGTATGGGTAGAAGTGAATCAGTAGGAACATTTTATAATTTTCTTCCTAGTTTAAGTTTAGCTAGCGTTTCAATTTTCAGCGCAATACTAAAATGTTTAAAAATCATCTAAACAGTTGTGGTCAAGTTGTCAAAAAATAAAATCATTCACGCGGTCAGCAATAGTGCTTGATCGCACGCCATTCCTATCCAAGCCTGTATTATCCTTTTTCACTTTTGGTTTTTTTGTTATAACCGTTTAAAAAAAAAGTGGCTCCTACCCATCATCTATGCTACATTGACTGACAAAAAGGTAGAATATGCAAGGAGTGCTGCTATATCTACTAAGGGTTTTGATCTGGGCAGGCAATCTATTAGTTAATAAAAATTTTTTTTTTTAAAGTTTCTAAATGATTTCCAGTCTTCTAAACTAATTTAAAATATAAAAATAAAATTAAGTTTACGTTTTATGGTAAAAACAAGCAAGAGTATTTAATTAATTTTTTTTTTAATGAAACAATATTCTTAACATGTTTCATAATATGTTTATTACATTTTCAAAATGTTAATTTTTAATAAAACTCTGGAATAAATAATACAAAACTGAAGACTTTACATAGAAATATCAACAGACTAAAAAAAAAATACATTATAAACCAATAAAAATGATTATGAAATGACTTGGTAGATAACCAATTAATACAATCAAAATAAGAAAAACTGTCATTTTATTTAAATAAATAAGTTTATAATGTTTATGGTATTATGGAAAGTTTGTTTATTAAGTAAAGGATTTTCCCATTTAATGTTAAGCTTTTTTTTTTACTTTTAATTTATGTTTGATGACCCATCATTGATTCAATGCATGGATTTTGCTTGTGTCTCTGTTTTTATGACTAGGAAACTCATTCTATTATCTCCTAATGAGGGTGCAGCTCAAAAAATCATTTTTATGGTTCTGAGGATGGCTAGTAGTCAGGTTTCCCAAAATCTGTGGTAGCTCTCAAAGATACTAATAATATCAACAATTAAAAAATATCAAAGTATTACCAGTACCATGTTGCGCATGGATGGTGTCCCTGTTTGTACTTTTCTTGCGCATTGCCAAGGTGGCATTTGGAGCCTTTTGTTACTTGGCTTGTTAGTTTAAAACTTGTTAATTTTTGTTATTAAAATTGGTTAGTGTTTATTAAAAGTAATAAGACAAATGCTTGGGCTATTAAATAGTGTACTGAGTATTATCTATGCTTTGAGTCAAGTTCTTTAACAAATTAAAAAAAGAATAAAGTAACAAAAACTATAAAACACAAAAAACCATTGTCGTCATCAAGTTTTCTAAACATATCATTCATGGTCTTCAAAGTAACTTTTCTTCTATTGAGTCTTATCTCTTGCAAAATTCACCAGACCAACTTGCTCTTAGTGAGAATAATTTGAGTTCAGCTGTCTTATCTTGTAATCTTAGTGTTGATGGTTCTTCCTTTAATTCGTAGAGACTCCAATAGTCACATGCTTGGCCTGGGCATTTATATTCATAAGAATTCACGCCAGGGGTCGAAATAAGTGCCGGACATCGCCGCCCCTCAGACCATTTTTGAGACTTGCTAGATAAGGGCAACAAACCATTGTTCATTTTTGCAGTAAAAATGAACAATTGTTGGTTGCCCTCATATAGCAGGTCTCAAAAATAATCTGAGGCGATGTCTGGCACTTATTTTGACCCCTGCACGCAGTTGTCAAGAAACTAGGTTTAAATCCATAGACTATTCTTTTATGTGCTTTCGTTTAGGACCATTTCTATATTGCTCTCTTTCACCTCAAAAATGCACTCTTTTCAATGTTATTTCTGATCAAATTGACCAAGCCCTCTCTCTTTATCTATCAGCCAATATCGTTGTTGTTGGTCACTTTAATGCTTATCGCACTGAGTGGCTTGGCTCTAGTGTCAGTGACTCTGCAGGCGTTAAAACCCACAACTTTGGCCTTTCTCAAGCCCTAACTCAAATAGTCAACTTTCCTTCTAGACAACCCGAATTATTTACTTTCTCTACTCAACTTACGTCTTGTTTCTGATCCTAATCAGTGCTCAGTTTCTCCATATTCACCCTTAAGTGCTTCTGATTACAGTTTGATCTCTCTAAAACTACTATCTCGTTTTTCTTCATCATCAGAATCCCCCTATCATTGTACTGCTTACAACTACCTTAAAGCTGACTGGGATTCAGACAAGCTTGACTATCAACTCTTGATTTAATTCTTTATAGTCTATGTTGTCACACAATTTAATTTCTTTGGAATGTTGTAGGTTATTCTTTGTATATATATATATATATATATATATATATATATATATATATATATATATATATATATATATATATATATATATATATATATATATATTCAACTAACAAAAATAACAAAGATTCGATTATAAATATGTAATATTGCAATGATGTTAAATACAAACCTTACAAACTTATAACAATGTATACTGAACCATGAAAATATAATTTTGACATGTGTGAAAATTTTAAGAGTTAATCTGGATCTTCAGCATCAAAATATTGATCTTCTAAATCTTGATCGCCAATACTATCACAATGCATAACATTTAAATCAACATTACTGTAATCAAAGTCATCTTCTCCACTTAAAAATCTATTTTCCATAAAAGAAAAAAACTCCTGTTGCATTTGAGATTTTTCTTTATCAGAAACTAAACTGCCATCTTCTATATCTAAACAAAAACCAAATTCTATTTGGAGGCATTTATGTTATGAATGGGACAGGAGGCAGCAAAAACTCTCCTGGATTTTATAATTTAGTTGATAAAATTATAATTATATTTAAACTAAAAAAAAATTAAATAGTTACATTTCTTAAGTTCAATATTTAAGTCATCATCACTATTCTCTTCCTCTTCTTCAGCATTTTCATAAATTTTAGATTCAACATCGCAACGAAAGTTATACCAATCATTATCCATTTTTTCAAATAAAAAAGATGAAAAACTTTGTTGATCACTGATATTCCTGATTTTATAATTTTCTACATAATGTTTATATAGTAATGGATTTCTCTGCTGCAATTCAGCATCGTTGAAAAAACCGTCTTTCATCAAAATATCTTTCATATAAATGTATCTTCGATTTTTTATTTGCGTTTTATCAACCATGCATTTCAAATTTTTTAAACATAATGTTAACTCAGAATTATTATCTTCTTCAAGCATACAGAGTTCTTCTAATAAAAGAAAACGTCCAAATTTCAAAACAAAATTAGTTTTGGATTTTTCATAAATATCTTTGATTAATACTAATCTATCATCAAAACATAAATCAGGTTCATCTTTTTGTTGACTTTTTACGATAACACTACTTTTTGCAATCCGATTTAATATAAAACTAACGCTTGTTTGATGATCAAGATCACTTTTATTAAAAACATCAAATTTTTCTTTTAAATCCATCAGTGCAAATATAGAGATTTTACAAAACTATATCATGTATAAAAATATAGAATACCACTGATCTCAAAATAATAACTGGATAGCGCATTCGGAAAAATTTTTGAAGCCAGTTTTGGCCTACCAAGATGGCGGCATAGTTTGCCAACGGTTATAGAAGTACCGTTTAAAAAATCAAAAAACCTTAAGCGTAATCGATAAAGATAAAATTTTAAACACAAATAAGGTTTTTTTTAAAAAAAACAATTTTTAAAAATAAAAGTAGGTATATATATAATATAAATATATATATATATATATATATATATATATATATAATATATATATACATATATAAAATATATTTATACATATTCATAAAAAATATATATACATTGCTTAATATAAATATTATATATATATAATATATATATATTAGGAAAAATAATATTTATATTATGCAATATATATATATTTTTTATAAATATGTATAAATTTATTTTATTATAAGATAAATAAAATCCTTCAAAAAAATTTAATAACCAATTTATGTACCTTTTAGTTCTTAATTATCTTATGCTGTGTGCTAGAAGGTTAATAACACAACTGCATGATAGGCAGCTTAGTATCTGTTTAATATGAATCAGTCTTAAAAAAAAATTGTTTTAAACAGATACTTGTAATGTATATATGCTGCATGAACTATTAGCTGAGCTCTGTGAGTACACGCAACTCAGAGGTTCCTTCTAGAGTTTGTTATCATTAATTATTTTAGTTTAATTTTAATAGATTTTTCTTTTAATACAAATAAATATACTAACTATATACACACACATAAATATACTCACCTAGTACATTTAAGTGAGTATATATATATATATATATATATATATATATATATATATATATATATATATATATATATATATATATATATATATATATATATATATATATATATATATATATATATATATATATATATATAAATGTTTGTATGTATATTATATATATGCATATATAACTCCTGATAAGTCGTAACCTTTAAGTGTCCAAGGAAATACTGGAAGTTCAATTTTTTAAAGGTTTGAGTTATCAGGAGTTTACTGTGTATATATCGATGACATAGTGCACAGATGTGGTAAGTGCAAGATTAAAACTGTAGAAACTGTCATTTGTGCACGTAATTATAATAAGAAGAGTTGTTGTATTTACCACATATTGTCAATTATTAGACTCTTTATCGTTTATCCTACACATACCATATTTATTCACAATAAACTATAAATAAAAACAGGTTTTTCTGCGTACTTATCTCAATTTGACCAAAATTTGTACTTACCATATCTGTGCACTAAAATGGTATACTAAAAACAAATGTTTTCATTGATTTTTGAATAAGACAAATTTAATCAACTGCTTCCTAAACTTTTTTCCAGTCAATTTGTTAGTTACTTGTTTGCATTGGTGATGAAAGTGTATTTTTCAGTAATTTTTTGAAATAACTTTAATCAGTGAGAATAAATGCATATCAGTTAAAGACGAATCTAGCATATGATGAGTTAGTTCTGTGAATACTTTTGATATATCAACTGATCTCAAAACAACACTTGCATTTGCATTTTTAATTCCTATATCATTAGGGAGGGTAATATTTGTTGATGTAAGAAACCTTTGGAAACATCTTTCTGTTCCTTCGCATACCAAAACAACACTTTTGCTTGGTTTAACTAAACCTCCTCTAGATAATTTATTCTCAATAAAATGTAACATACATATGTTACATCTTTACATACTATGTATGTGTTAAACTGTCAATAATTATCCTTCAAACTTTGAGGAATAATTATTCACAGTTGAGTTTGACAAGAGTTAGACTTTAAATCTAAGTCATTGAGAGATAATTTTTTACTTTGGAATATAAATATTGTTTTATATTTTCACTGAATATTGAGTCCAGAAAGTTAATGCATTAAATAATAAAATGACTTTTATAATCCTAGAAGGAACCTCTGAGTTGTGTGTACTCACAGTTCTCAGCTAATAGTTCATACAGCATTGGTACAATAATGTTTCTACCTACAAAACTCATGATTTTAAAATTCTTTAAAGATTGTAGGTAGACATCTTGCTGCTTACCATACAGTTGTGTTATTAACCTTCTAGCACACAGCATTGGGTAATTAAGAACTAAAAGGTACATAAATTATAAACCTCATTTAAAAAGTGTATACTAGCTGAATATTTTAATAATTAGGAATCAAATAAATTTATTTCGCCATTTTATTTTCCTTAAAAATAGTTTACTTTTCTTATTCGGTCAGAATTTTTATACGATTCAAACCGCTAACAGTTCTAACCGACGCCATCTTGGTAGGCCAAAATTGGCTTCAACTTTTTTTACGAAAAACAATAGAATACGCTATCCAGTTATTATTTTGAGATCAGTGATAGAATACGCGATATTATTTTCTCGTGACTCTTTTCGAAAATACCCCTCTACCTCCCGAAATTATACTTGTTTTTGCAAATAAAGATGGTGGTGTTGTTTTCATCAAACGTCTGACACGACACTTTAAATTTCAAACCAAAAAATTAGCTTTGCGGAGTACAAAATATACTCGCGGAAGTTATACTGAATACGTGATCGTTTAAAATATATAAAAACGTTAATAAAATATAAAATAAAGTTATTTAATACAAGAATGTTAAAAAGCTTAAAAAAAACACAATAATAATCTGTCTAAGTGTACTTCGTTTACTTTTTTTTTTCTTAATAATAAAAATAAAGAAAACTACTGCATTTTTTATTTATCATTATTCAACTATAAATATATGTTAAAGTTTATGTTTAAGCAATATATACTTTATATTAGTATACAGCTTATGTTTAAGCAAATGAAATCGAGTCATGAGTTAGAAAATTATAAATTTTTCGAGTATTGAATGGTTAAATTCAAAATGAAGTTTGCTCTTGTAACTGTTGGCACTTCTCTTGCTACAGCAGCTGTAATTACAAATGCTTTTGTACAAAAGAAACAGTTTTATCCATCAGTAGTTTTCTTAACAAAATCGAATTCTAGCTTAGCAGTAAGTACTTTTTTTAAATTTAAATCAAAATGTATGATTAACAAAATTTATATAAATTTAAAAACATATTTAGATCATGAGGTAGTAAGTATAAAGTATAAAATTGATATTATAGTTAAAAAATGTGGCAATATGTTAGTATAATATAAAACTATTAAACTCTATGACAGTATGAATTATAAAAATTACAAAAGTAAATTATGCTAAGAAACGAACTTGAAATATGTGATTAAGATACAATTAAATACAACTAAATGTAAACAATGGTTAATGATCATTAATAATATTCAAAAAGGTATCAATAATGAGTTTGAAACAAACATAATATCAAATAAAAGAACTCTATACTCTAGCTGGCTAAAATGTTCCTTATATAGGGTAAAGCGGGGTATTAAGCCCCATGGGGCATTAAGCGCCACTTACTCTGTTCATATAATAAAATGCTTAGTGTTATTGTATTAAGAGAGAGGGACATTAAATTTTACATCATAGATACTAACTAATCAATCAGGGATCTTTTCTCAACCATACTTGGGTTTCTAACCTATGACATTGATATGTAGTTAGAATTTATAGATGAGTGATCTATAAAGATCAAACTTGTTGAAAAACTTCTGTTAAATTAGCGCGTGTTTATTATTGACTTGAAATACAAGTGCATATAAACGTGTGTTTGTTTTGACTAACAATACAAGTAAATATAAATTTAGTAAGTAGTATTTTCAACTTTATAACTACCTGTGTATGTAACTAATGAATTAAAATACTAATATTTCTAGAGCAAATTAAGATATCAATTTTAGCAAAATAAAATGGCGGTTAAATGAATGTCTAAGACATTGTTTATAAATAACTCCAAAATTCACTTTAATACTAAATTTCTATTAAATATTTTGAATAGAGAGCATTTCTAAGAGAATTATGATTTTCTTGATTATAAATTAGTTAAATTAATTTATAAAAATTAATGTTTTAATTAGCAGGGGCTTAATGCCCCCAAATGACAAAAAGGTGATTAAAACAACTGAATAAAATTGATTAGATAAATAAAATCAATGTTTTAATTATATAAACATTACACAGATATAGTTTAAATTGAAAACAAAAGTTACTTATTTTTAGAAATAGTTTAATACTGTTTTAAATATAGTTTTGACAATAGAGCTTATTACCCCCTTTGTACAAAGGGGGAGAAATTTTGCTTAACAGTTGTTTAGCCAAATGGTTAAAACATATAAAAAGGGAGAGGAACTAGGAAGGAAGTTATATGCAACTAGCCAGGCAATGAAAGATGCCTACAGGCAAGCAAATGTCTGCCAACCATGCTTTCTTTCATTATGGAGTTGATAAAAAAAGGCTCTTTTAAGGAGAGTGCAAGGATGGGGCTGATATTGAATGGCTGATATTCCATGACTGGTATTCCATTGTTTTAATATCAGCCCCAGATGGGGCTGATATTGAAGCCGTGGAATGGATCTGTGAGATTTGCTTACAAACAATTTGAAAATAAATATTTAACATCTGGAGCTTATTGCCCCCATTTTTTAAATCTTGAGTCATTTTAGTTGTAACTTTTTAGTTTTTTTTTCACAGTAAGATTATAAATTTTTCTGATTAAAGCTATTGTACTTAAAGAAATATGTGTTGTCTATTACTTAAAAACATTTTCAGTTTAAATTTAATATTTTTTTACTTATTTCAAATAGAAGAAGTGAAAGTTCTTGAAAACATGGAGCTCAATGCCCCGCTTTACCCTAATCAACATACCAAAACAAGTAATCTATGAATGGAAAAAATTTTTAAATATGAAGAAAGTAAGTAGCAACAAAGCCATACACAGGTCATAAAAAGACTCTTTAGGTTGGATTCTGGAAACTCTAAAAATTAATAGATTTTTTAAGAAACCAGTAAAGTATACAAAACCGTGAAAATTAAAATCAAATGGATGGCATTATTAAAAAAGTATTTACAGAGGCAACAAAATAATGATGATAATCATGATGATTATATGTCCCAATCTTTATCTCTAAAAACAGAATAGAAATAACGGTGATAATAATAATAATAGAATTTGTTATATTATGTTTAATTGATTTTTCGATAATTAGTTTAGAATATTTTAGATGCTAATTCTTATTGAAAAAATTTGATGGAAAACATGTTTAAAGGTCCACCTGCATCTTAAAAGTATAGTATAGTCCATATTAAAAATTACAATTTGTATTAACTATGTTGCCACCCTTAGTTCATTAGAGAACCTATATGCTAGTAAATATTATTATGATTTTGAAGAACAATTGTAACAAAAAAATATGAAGAACAACTAACAGAAAATTTTTTATCATTTTAAGGCTACCTGAATAAATTAAATTTATATATTTTTATCTTTCTATTTTTTTATGTGTGAATGTCACAATAGTTTGAAAAATAGATAATAATTTTCAAAACGCTATACTCAAGCTAGTATTATTTGCTGAATGCTATTTCTCATCAAAAATATATTAAGTATGAGTCGTAGAAGTATAATATTTTACTTGAAATACCCACAAGCAAGTTTATTTTATAAAAATAACTACATGAAATTGACAAATTTGTAACTTCTGTGCGTGATCATTTATGAACTGTATTTAAACAATTGCTGTGACTCTAATACACAGTGCAATCCTGTAACTTTTTGGAAATCTTTACTAATTTAAAATATTATCTTAAAAAAAAAGTATACTGCTAAAACTTACATTTTCCAAGGATTTATAGTTTATTTAACTAGTAACTAAAATTCAAATTTTTCTGTTCTACGCATATATATATATATATATATATTTATATATATATATATATATATATATATATATATATATATATATATATATATATATATATATATTTATGCTCCAAAAACTTTTATTTGTCTTTTATTGTCCCATCTTCATGTTTTCCTGACTCATACAACCTTCAACTTTTTAAGTCTTCTGTCAACCACTTTAATTTTTTTTAGCAACTCCCATTTTGATAGTGGTTGCTTGAAGCCTTATTGGGAATAAAAAAGAATTAAAAATATCTAGATAACAATGCTTAAATAGGTTACTTTAAAAGCTTTTGCCTGTAAACAAAGTCAAAATAAAAATTTATCCAAAAAATTCATCCAAAAAGATAATGCACAAAGTTTATTTATTATTTAATTATTATAATAATGCAGGATAAAAATATTAAAATGCCATCGGTTGGAAAATCGGTAAAAAAGGCGGATGCCGATACTGATTCCGATTGTGCAAAAAATGGCCAATTAAGCGAATGCCGATACCCATTAATTGGTACATCACTAATATATATATATATATATATATATATATATATATATATATATATATATATATATATATATATATATATATATATATATATATATATATATATATATATATATATATATATATATATATATATATATATATGTATATATATATATATATATATATGTATATGCATATATATATATATATATATATATATATATATATATATATATATATTTAAACAATTTAAAAAATGTATTCTAACTTTAGCATCATATGAATTGAAATAATATCAAATTCCAAATCATATGAAGTAGAATATTTGTGAACAAATTAATATGAAACAATAAATTTATTTACATTAGTTTGTTTTAATTCTTCAACAAAAGAAAATGAGTCTAAAGTGCAAAATTGTTTATGTATATGAAGAGACAATAAATGAGAAAGATGTTTGGCAAGGCTGTAGTTATATATTCCGATTGTTGAGATGATAGATTGAAATGTTGAAAGAGATAACTATCTTTACTAACTTTATGCATTTTAGGCAACACGTAAATACTTGCAGATATCCTACAGGATAGATTATAGTGTAAATGTCTTTTTCAAAACATTTAAGCTTATAAAGTTTTCTTAGATACCCTTGTAAAGATATTTCTCTTTTTATAGTTAGATTCTCTTTTTTTAAATTTCTTTAAACTTAGTCTTATTACTTATAATATTGCGTAATGAGTTCATATAATCAACTTTATTAAGAGCAATTATAACTTTTCTTTTGTCAGGTTGTGTAATAACAATGTTCTCATTATTCCGAAGTCTTTTTAATATTTTATATTTTCTTAGACAAATTTCAGATGGAGTGTATTTGTATACCTAATTGTTAGCCAAATGGGAATGATCACTTTTAAGTTGAAGTTTTGAAGCTTTATTTTTCAGTTGATTATCAAGAAAATGCAAAATATAATAATCCCCCAAACAAACACAAATTAAAGATAAAAGAAGCCCTCCACATTAAATGGGAAAGTCCCTCACTTAATGAACAAACTTCACATTATGCTATAAACTTATCTATTTAATTTTACTGTCAGTTTAATTTTATTTATTTATTTTTTTGACAGTTAGTTATTTTGATTGGTTATTTACCAATGATTGAGTTATTTTGTAATATATATTGGTTTATTATGTAAATTTTTGTCCGTTATTATGTAAATTTCTCTGTAAAGACTTCTATTTTTTAATATTTATTTCAGAGTTTTATTATATATATATATATATATATATATATATATATATATATATATATATATATATATATATATATATATATATATATATATATATATATATTGTTTACTTGTAGTTTATTCTTAATGACTTTGTTGTAGGTGTTATATGCTCAAGTATTTGTCCTGCTATTTTTAATTGGAAAAGCTCTCCGTAGAATATTTTTTGGACAGCTGCGTGCAGCAGAGGTTGAGGTATGGTTATCTTTAAATTTCAAAAAGTGATGATTATAATGTTGGTGATGATTTTTACTTTTTTTTTTTTTTTTTTTAGCATCTTATTGAAAAATTTTGGTATGTAATTACTGAAACATGCTTGGCATTCACTGTTTTCCGTGATGATTTCAGCCCTAAATTTGTTGCTTTATTTACATTTCTACTTTTTATGAAAGCTTTTCATTGGTTAATGGAAGATCGTGTTGATTATGTGAGATTTAAATATTTATTTTTAGGTATTTTAAATTAGTTGACTAAATAAATTAGATTTACCATCGTTACAATATATATTTTATATATAGTTTTATAATGTATAATATAACTTACATATATTTATTTACAGTTAATTAAACATATATGTAATTAATGTTTTAAAATATTTAAAGCTTTGTCGGCTTAGATTGTTTTTGTTTTTTTAATTATAATTTGTTGCCATTACAAGTTTTCAAAAATTTTGGTAGAAGAGTTATTTTTTATTTTTTTTGTTTAAAATGTTATTAATAAGGACTAATCAATTGTTATTAACAGGGAATAATCCTGAAGTTGTAATGTAAAGCTAACCATTTTACTTCCAAGTTTTTAAAAATACATAATAATTCATATGTTAACTGCATTTCAATAATAATTTATACAAAATGTTAATTATTTTTTAGATGGATCGAACACCAGTTATAAGTTTTCTATTCCATTTGAGAGTAATAAGTATGCATTTTAATTTTTTTTGTTTTTCTCTTTAATTAATCTAACTAGTTTCATTTACTTGAAAGAAAAAAAGTAACTTTGTAAAATATCAAATAAAATGTAATATTCGATTTTTATATAAAAGATTTCTCCTAAGTTAATAAGTTCAGGTAAGAAATTGGGTTATGAACGTCTTAAAGTCTTAAAAGTAAGGGCTTTAATTATTTGAATTGATTTTGCTGCTGGTAAATGTAATCTAGTACAACCTGCCACATATCCTGTTGTCTTGTAGGGTTTAATTTTTAAAACAAAAGCTTGAAGAAGTTAGCTCTGCCCTAAATTCTATATTTAGGGCTCTTGGTTGAATAAAGACTAGAAATGCTGTCTCAATATTTATCTGTGGCAAACATAAATTTACCCGGTGCTGCTGTGTAGAAGATCTTGGCCTTGGACTCCTTTTTCTGATCTAATAGCTTGACATAAATGATAATCTGTATTACATTATTTCTTGCCTAGCATAATGAAGACTTCTTGGGTTTACTTCTTGTAAACTATATGTTTTAAAAGTCTACTCATAGTAATGGCTGTGCAAATCTTTCTGTTATCTCTTAATGAAGGTATAGTAACTCAGGGGAATGATTCTGTGGTTATCTGCTGTTAGGATCTTTTTTTCACTTTGGTCACTCTCAGAGAGGCTGATTCTATAAACAGCAATAGTATACTAGAGTATTAGAAAAATATTTCTGTAACAGTTTTTCTGTAAAAGCGTTTTCTAGAGCTTTCTTGAATATTCTTTAAACTATTTAACAAGTGCTTAACTGAATCTTGTTTTCCTGCTTATTAAAAAATAGCATCTGCTATTTTTTAAAACTCTAAAAATTGCTCTAACATGTTCAATTCATCATTTTACTATTATACTTATAGCAGGGTTTTTTCTATGATAGTATTTGTAATGTGTGTATTTGTAATGCGTGTGTTTGTAATAAGAGTATTTGTAATGAGAAAGAGTATTTGTAATAAGAAAGAGTATTTGTAATGAGAAAGTGTATTTGTAATGAGAGTATTTGTAATAAGTGTATTTGTAATAATAGTATTTGTAATGAGAAAATGTATTTGTAATAAGAATATTTGTAATGAGAAAGAGACATTTTTATGACAAGCTTGGCAACTAGAATAGACTCAACTATGTTTACAATGTATTTACCTTGTCTAAAAAAGGAAGGACATCTATAGAAGAATTAGCCAAAATATGAAAAAAGGAATAAGTTTACAGAGGTAGAGAATGGAATCAGTAGTAATAAAATGGCAAGCATGATAAAGACAACTATAGCAGATGCTAACTTTGTAATGAATAATATATGTGCACTTGAAATTAGGGTCAGTATTCTGCAACGCTATCTGAACTTATTCCTGTATTGAATACTTTTTTCATATTTTGGCTAATTCGTCTATAGATGTCCTTCCTTTTTTAGACAAGGTAAATACATTGTAAACATAGTTGAGTCTATTCTACTGACCTGAAAGTGTCTGAGGTTGGGGTTTGTTTCTATGTTATTATGCTGAAACCATTGTGTTAAATATTTGTGCCCATCTTATGCTGACCAAAAATAGTTCAAGATCGGCAATTTATTTCCAATTTTGAATTATTTTTTCTAATTCAAAGGACTTGTATATGATATCCATGAAAGGTCAGTAGTGAAAGATAACTTAATAAAAAAAACCCTTTTGTTAACAGCATAAAATGACATTTTAAAAAAGAAAAAAAGATAAACCTTAAAAAAAAACAATTGAAAAAATAAAATTAAAAAATAAAAGAAAAAGATTAAAATAATCAATGTTGCTATTGTTATATTTTGTTTTGTAATTAAATTATCTTTAATGATATTCAAAATATTATTAACTATAATTATAGATATTATAATTATAATCTTAATTAAATGATTTTTTTTTTTTTTTACAAAAACTGTATTTATGTTGTTGCAGGTTACTTTATTTTGTCTGGTTATTTACTACTTGCTGACTTATTTAATAATATTTTAAAAAATATTACAGATTTATTTTGTTATTTTAATTTCTTTCTTATTATTTGTATTATTTTTGTTAAATTTTTATAAACATAAAATGTTTTTACTATCCTTAAAGGGATCCCCAAGTGTCGAGACAAGTTGTGTTCATATCTTAAATAAACCTAAGAAAATAAGTTTAGGGTTTATTAAATTTACTAAAATAATTTATCGAGATGTTAACTAAAAACTTTTTAGCTTTTTTGTAACTTCAACTTTTTTTTATTTATCATTTTCAAAGAAATCTTGTTTTCTGTGAATTCTCTGGTCATTTATAATTTATTAATTTATTATTTTAAAAAGTATTTTTTTTTTAGGTTTAATGATGTTATTGGGCACTCTTGATTCTGTACTTATTCATCATGCATTTCGAATTACACTTTCAAGTGGAGCTTCAGTTCAAATGGTATTTGGTTTTGAGGTTAGATTATAATTTTTTGGCCTTTAGTGGTATATATTTTTATTCAGAAATAATAAAATTTAGAAATTGTTGCTTTAATAATCTTTTTATATGATACGATTTTATTTATGATATGTTTTTATATGATACGATTTTATTTATGGTATGTTTTTTTTTTATTTATGATATGTTTTTTACTGAAAAAATAATATGCTGTTTTTGTAAATAATCAAAAAATTGTTTGTCTCAAATAAAGATAGGTATCGTTTATTTGATATTTTGTGTGCTAAAATAAATTTATCAGTCACAATAGTTTCTTATAGTAACTATGTGAAATTTACTTTTCTTTAGTGCTAATAAATTTAAATTTTAAGTTTTTGTATTAGTGTAGTTTTTGAAATTGTATTTTAAATAACACATTATATATACATATATATATATATATATATATATATATATATATATATATATATATATATATATATATATATATATATATATATATATATATATATATATATATAGAGAGAGAGAGAGAGAGAGAGAGAGAGAGATGTGATGCGTTTTTTTGGTTCTTGTTTTTTTGTTGTTTTTTTGGAAAAAAAACTATGGGTCCGTTTTTTTGGGTTTTTTGGGAAATATTCAAAAATTCATTGTTTAAGTTACTAAATTTAACTTTAATGGCAATATCTTAATTCATATTTTAATTTCTGATTTAAATAGGACAATAAATACTGAAATTTACTGAATTAATTTTTGTTTTAGTATATTAACACTGTTAAAGGTTGACGCGGTTGAAGCAGTTCTGTATAAAAACTTCTTTGATAATTTTATCTTCCTCAATTTTATCTTTATTGTTTTTAGTGTATATTGACACAATAAACATTATTTATTTACATTTATTATATTTAATAAAATTTAACAACTAATGAATGAAAGAGTCAAGCGAGAATGAGTTTTTGTTAATGGAACTAGAGATAATAATTCTTTTGAGCAGCCACCATGATAGAATTTGTAGAAAAGAGAAAGAGATGCAACTTTACGACAACGGGAAAGAAGCTCAAGCTTAGCAGATAGAGCTTGTTTAGAAGAAAAAGGGCATTATGAGAAGAACCAGCCCAAATATGACAACATCATTTCATATTTGTAGAGGTAGAGAATGGAATCAAGGGTAAGAAAACGATGATAATGATAAAGAGATGCTAATTTAGCAATAGATGGTATATTTTGTTTACATAAAAGGTTAGTAGCAAATAATATACCAAGAAGATGTAAAAAAAAAAAACTCAGTAAGAGAGTTACCATTAATTAATATAGGAATGTCGACAGTATTGTGGTAGTTGTTTGCAGTAAATAACTGAGTTTTGTTGGAAATAAAATTTATAAGCTAAAATATGTGAGCCCCAATCTGTGAACAGATTGGGGGTCACATATTTTAGAAATCTTCTCTTTTTGATCGCTTAGAACAGGCAGCCAATTTTGTATCAACAGATACAAAATTGGCTGCCTGTTCTAAGCGATCAAAATTGGCTGCCTGTAGGGTTGTCGGGAAGATCAATAATGTAGATAAGAAACAAAACAGGACCAAGAATAGAACCTTGAGAACCCCAGAAGTTACTGGAAATAAAAAAGTAGGCCTTGATGATGATTATAATAAAGAAGTTAGAAAGAAATGATTTAATAATCCCAGATACACAATTTGAAGTTTCATGTCTAATTTAAGTTTAATTGTTCAATACTTAGTTCATACTTAAGTTCATTTTATATTCAAAAGGTCCCTAATATTGTTTAAATGGTCCCTAAAATGTTTATATTAAAAAGGTAAACTTATTACTCAAATAAAGAGAAATTTTATATAAATTTTCTGAATTAGAATCTAAAAAGAGATTAATACAAAAAATAACCACACCACATTAACAACACTGAGTAGTGATTTTTAAAGCACCATAATATCTATATATACATACATATGTATATATATATATATATATATATATATATATATATATATATATATATATATATATATATATATATATATATATATATATATATATATATATATATATATGCCTTAGTCGCCCATTTATTTAAACCTCTGAACCAAATTAATAAAATAGAAAAAGATAAACAATTTTTTTGCGATAAGATTATGTCTAAAAATTGAACTTAAAAAACAGAGCATATTAAAGAATTTTGCAAGTGTTTTGATATAGTGCTATATGAAAATATCTAGATGAATAAATAATGTAATTAGAAAAAAAAATGCTGTTAAAAAATTAATTACAAATAAATAAATTACGAATCATCAGGTGAATGGGGTCTGAAAACTCCATAAATAATAATAATTAGAAAATTTTTAAATTTTCCTTGAAACTAAGTTCATTATAGGGCTTTTTTTTAATATGGGCAATATTTATTTTTTTGATATAACAAACAAACAATGTAAGACTTAATTACTACATAATATACAAATGCTTAATTAAGTTAATAATCTTGATAGATTGCTTATTTTTTTGAGCATTCGAAGTCTGATATTAAATTTGCATGGTATTATACATTAATATATTTACATTATCAAAATTAAAATGGTAACTTTTTTATAGAATAAGAATAGTTTTTATATATAATGAGAGTATCACAGTTGTTAGTACAAAACAAAAAATAAACATTTTCATACAGTATGCCTAGATATATAACTTACTTAAAGCTAATTTAAATTTTTTATAAAAAATTTATGTTAAATTGGTGTTTATACATCTAGTTGTGCCTTTAATGGCCAAGTACTAAAATTATACTAGAGTAAAGGAAAACTATTCCAAAATTTATGTAAAAAAAAAAACTGAAAAATTGTTAAAAAAGCAATACAACACCAAAAAAAACAAAAAAACATGTTTTTTTGACCCAAAAAAACGCCAAGGGAAAAAAACGAGTTTTTTTGCAACTCTGTCTCTCTCTCTCTTTCTCTCTCTCTCTCTCTCTCTCTCTCTCTCTCTCTCTCTCTCTATATATATATATATATATATATATATATATATATATATATATATATATATATATATATATATATATATATATATATATATATATATATATATATATATATAATAATAATAATAATAATAATAATAAGCAATCTTGAATTTCAGTATGCAATTCTGTTAACTATGGTTATAGCAACAGCAATGAAGTATATGCTACACAGCATTGATAGTTACTTTGAACATCCTTGGGAAAGTAGAAATGTATATTTATTATATTCTGAACTAATAACAGGTTATTTTACTTTTTTTTATTTTTATTTAACAAAATATTTTGATTACAAAATACAATATAAAAGCATAATAGCCATTATTATTTTCTGATATTATTATTGTATTTTTATAACCACATCCTGTGAAATTCCCAATTAAACTTATGTGAAAGGAACAAAAACTTTTTCTATAGAAGTATTATATATCCCTAGGGTATATGATACTTAGAGAGCATATTGGTGCATTTTTGTAAAAATGGCGCATAATGCAAATAAAAAAATTCTTATATAACCAAAGTCTTTTTATTTTGTGAAAAAATTAAACTTATATTTGCAATTTAAGTTTAATTCTTTAATTCTTACACAAAATAAAAAGACTTTAGTTATATAATGTGTTCATTGACACCTTCTTATGGTTTCTCTTAAATTATTATCATGTCTTTGACTCAAATGTGTAGTGTGTGAGAGTCTTTTTTGTTGAATCAAACTTAATGAAAAACATCCTCTTGGACACAACTAGGACCATCCTAAGACACAAAATATAAGTCTTAAAGAAGCCACATTATTCAAACTTTCTTAAATCCTTGCTTTTCATTATCAGAAAATAGATGTACCTATTGCAGGCCTTGTTTTAAATAAAAAATGATTAGTGCAATAGCCTAATAGTACATATTATTATTATTAATAATAATATGTGAATTTGACATCATAAAATTCTCTTTATTTTTTTATTTTTTAAAGACATAAACTTTTTTAAATTATTGCAATAATTTTAATTACCACAAAATCAGTTTAATGTTATTTAACTTTTTTATTATTACTATGAAGAAATGTTATTTTCTGTTTTTTTTAATTATTAAATAATTAAATTTAATATTACATTTAAAAAAATGTTTGATATTAACAAATTTATTTTTTTTCTCAACATTTACATAAATGAATTAAAATATGTTAAATTTTTGAATGATTATAATATTGAATGTAACAAATAATAAAAATTAGCAAGTAACAAATAACAAAAATTAGCAAGTAACAAATAATAAAAATTACCAAGTAACAAATAATAAAAATTAGCAAGTAACAAATAATAAAAATTACCAAGTAACAAATAATAAAAATTACCAAGTAACAAATAATAAAAATTACCAAGTAACAAATAATAAAAATTACCAAGTAACAAATAATTACTTTATATTATTAACGAATTTGTTGTGAAAGCAAAGATTATTTTTCAAAACATCATTTATTAAAATTATATCGCTGTATATATCGTTTATTGAAAAATAATCGTTGCAATTTAACTTGCATTATAAAAAAAAAAGTTTAAGTTTCGTTTTGTGCAAGTTTTTGACGCAGCTGTTTATTTAAAATTTAATTTTGAGTAATATAATAATGTTTAGGAAAGAAAACCGAAAAAACAATTGCGATGAAAATGAGCTATTTTTGTTCAGAATAAATAAGATTTAAATATTAAACAATATTTAGTAATATTTTTAAATAAATTTGACAGTTATGTTAAACCATAGCATTAATTTTTATTTTAATAAACTTAAATATATTTTTTAAATCTAAATTAGATTATATATTTTTTAAATCCAAATTAAATTATGTATTTTTTTTTTATCAGAATAAAATTAGATGCAGAACAAATTGCATTTATCTTGGCAATGGCAAAATATTTACTTCCAAAGAAAAAATTCATTTTTGAAAATTAGAGCACTTTTGACTTAGTAAATCAATAAATTAAAAAATCATGCTGTACCTAAAAATGGTTTAAATGTATACCGTACTTTTCAATTAATACTGCCAAGTGGGCGATTTGTGTGTGTGTGTTTGTGTGTGTGTGTGTGTGTGTGTGTGTGTGTGTGTGTGTGTGTGTGTGTGTGTGTGTATGTCTGTGTTTTATAAGTATCATACCAAGCAAATTAATTTATTATTATTTTACTGATTATTTAACCCCAATGTTATTTCTAATGTCATTTATAGATGTCATTTATTATTATAATCTAACACAACTAGTGCATTTATAATATGTACCTTGAATAATGGTGTCTTAAATGCAATCTTTATACATAAAAAAGATTTTCCTATATTTTATAAAATTTATATGCAATTTTTAGACATAAAAATCTTTGTTTCTTTAAAACACTCTACAAAAATAATACACAATAAAACGTGTTAATCTAAAAAAGATTTTCTTCTTTGTATTTTGTGAATGTTTTACATCGTAATTGAGAGAAATAAAAACTAGAAATATGTTATACCCAAGCTCAAATGACAAGCTGACTCGGAAAACATCTACTTTCCGTTATTTTAATATACTAATTAACGTATACAAAAGTAATAGAGTCAGCTGGGGTAAGACTAAACGGTTTTTTTCTTTTATGGAGAATTTTTTGCTTGCACAAATATATAAAAATTGAGAAAAAAATATTTGAAAAATTTAAAACAAAATCTTGGAAGTTATAAGGTAACTCTTTCCTAATTTGCTCCTAAAAAGGCTAGAAGTAACCACTATTAAAATGGGAGTTACTAGGAAACAAAGAATAGTTAAAGTTAGAGATCAAGGAATCAGTTGATATAAGACTTGAAAAGTTGAACGTTGAATGAGTCAGGAAAACAGAGCACAAGATAGGAGAGAATTGAATTGCATTGAAGAAGAGAATTGAATTGCATTGAAGAAGAGAATTGAATTGCAGGAGATTGAAAGCATAGAAGTGTGGGAGAAAAACTAGATGAATAAAAGTTTTTAGAGCATTAAAGGACAGATACAGTTAAAGTATGCTTTAATTTTTTTTTTTTTTGGTTTTGCAGAATTACAAGTCAAGTAAGAATGATTTAGTTGATAGAAAAGATGAAAACTTCTTTAAGCAGCAACTAAGATAGTAATTGTAGAAAAGAGAAAAACACGCAACCATACAATGATGGGAGAGAGGCTCAAGCATATGTTTATGTGCTTAAATAATATTTACAAATATCTTATTGGTAACTGATAAAATCTATCTATAAATTGTTTATAATCTTTATTAAAAATGGGTAAAATTATTTAAAAAGTAAAAGTTAAAATAAGTAAATTTTGACAGTTTAAAAATATAGTTTTATTATTATTTTAGATTGCTTTTTATTTACTTTTTGTTTTATAAAATTCTTGAATTATATTTAAAAAAAAACTAGAACTGCCAATAAAAATTAATAGTCGCATTTTCCGGCAACTTAATTGCATCAAAGAATATTTTTAGTCACTCTTCACAAAATTTTGTTGTCTGGTACCATTAGAAGACCACAAGTGTACACCTCATATATAAATATATATATATATATATATATATATATATATATATATATATATATATATATATATATATATATATATATATATATATCACCCTTTAAAGCTATTGTCACCATTCAGCAATGCTGACCTAACTACCAACCTAAAATTGTATGAAGTCAGCAATTTTTTTGTGGACCTAATTTCTATGTTATTATGGTGAAAACTTAGTGTTTCAAATTTTATTTTGACATGATGCCAACTAAAAATAGCTTAAAGTTATGTATATAAGTAACTTAAATAAAGTTATGTATATAAGTAACTTAAATAAAGTTATGTATATAAGTAACTTAAATAAAGTTATGTATATAAGTAACTTAAATAAAGTTATGTATATAAGTAACTTAAATAAAGTTATGTATATAAGTAACTTAAATAAAGTTATGTATATAAGTAACTTAAATAAAGTTATGTACATAAGTAACTTAAATAAAGTTATGTATATAAGTAACTTAAGTAAAGTTATGTATATAAGTAACTTAAATAAAGTTATGTATATAAGTAACTTAAATAAAGTTATGTATATAAGTAACTTAAATAAAGTTATGTATATAAGTAACTTAAATAAAGTTATGTATATAAGTAACTTAAATAAAGTTATGTATATAAGTAACTTAAATAAAGTTATGTATATAAGTAACTTAAATAAAGTTATGTACATAAGTAACTTAAATAAAGTTATGTATATAAGTAACTTAAGTAAAGTTATGTATATAAGTAACTTGAATAAAGTTATGTACATAAGTAACTTAAATAAAGTTATGTATATAAGTAACTTAAGTAAAGTTATGTATATAAGTAACTTAAATAAAGTTATGTATATAAGTAACTTAAATAAAGTTATGTATATAAGTAACTTAAATAAAGTTATGTATATAAGTAACTTAAATAAAGTTATGTATATAAGTAACTTAAATAAAGTTATGTATATAAGTAACTTAAATAAAGTTATGTATATAAGTAACTTAAATAAAGTTATGTACATAAGTAACTTAAATAAAGTTATGTATATAAGTAACTTAAGTAAAGTTATGTATATAAGTAACTTAAATAAAGTTATGTATATAAGTAACTTAAATAAAGTTATGTATATAAGTAACTTAAATAAAGTTATGTATATAAGTAACTTGAATAAACTAAAAATAGCTTAGAGTTATATATTGTAAGTATATAAGTATTTATATACTATAGTATGTTAAATTTTAGGTTTTGTAAAATGCTGTTTATATGTTTCATTTGTTGGATTAATGGTTAAAATTCATACTTTCCCATTGTTTGCTATTAGACCAATGTATTTGACAATTAGGTAATTTTTATCTCTAAACAATTTTTTATTTTAATAAATGTTTTAGTTTTACATATACAGTAGCGTCCAAAGGTTTGTGGATAGGCAAAAAAATAAGGAATTTTACTAATATATCAGTACATACTTCACTAAAGCCTATATATTATTTTCCATTCAAAAGATTTTCAAGTTTACAATTATGTTTTGAACAAATAATGATTATCTAATTAACATTTTAAAATTGGTATACAAATCAACAATTTTTGATAAGTTCAAAAATTTGTGGAAAAAATGTTTTTTTTTTTTAATTGTACAAATTTTTCAACAATATTTGATCATAAATTTATATAAAAGCAATATCACATTAGTATTTGTATGATATCCTTTGCAATCAACAATGGCTTGGCATCTATGAGGCACGAAGTCAACTAAATAAATGCAAACGCCAATGGAAATTGAATCTCATATTTCTTTGATTTTATTAAATAAATCAGCATGATTTGTAGACTTGATTCCCTTTATTTGACGGTCAACATGTTCCCATAGATGTTTAATTGGATTTAAGTCACATGATTGGGATGGTCACTTCAAAGCATTAACTTTATTTATTTAAAAAAATTCTAAAACCAATTTTGTTGCATTTATGGAATTGTTATCTTTTTTGTATATCCATCCTCAAGGAATTTTATCCTTTGCATAAGGCTATATAATAATCTTACATGTATCTCTGTACTTTTCTGGATTTAAAGTCTCAATATTTCTATAGAGCAAATCAACTCTATCTCGGCTAAAACATCCCAAATCATTAAAATACCTCCATGTTTTATGGTAGGCAGTTGGTGTTTAGAATTGTATCTTGTACCCACTAGATCGTATCTTGTACCTACTGGGCATCGAACATACCTGATTTCATCTGATCCAAACAGTATAAATGTACTTTCGTCACTAAAAAGAATTTTTGTCAAATTGTTGACTATTCTAGATGTTCCACTTTAGATGCTCTGATTCAAATTCTTTTTGGGCATAATGGTTTTTCAAGGAAACTAACGGCTTTTTAGCTAGCCGTCTTCCAAATAAATTAGTGTAACGTAAACAACGTTTTATAGTAGAAATACCACAATTCATTCCATAGAAACGGCTCATTTGTACATTTATATCGACAGCATTCAAACTATAATTTTCTTTGCTCAGTATCACAAGCTTTTTATCCTGATAATTTTTATTCGTTGTAGATCTAGTAAGCTCATATCTCATCAATTTGTGTTACAGCATACTTACTGACTCAAAGCTGCTTTACGAAACGAATTTCCATTTTGAACTAATCTTAATCTCAATTTTTCCACTGGAGATGAAATTTTCTCAGATTCCACGATCCCAATCACTTATAAATAAAGTTTGTAAATTATTTCCACAAAGTATTTGTTTAAAAAATCAACAAATTAGCAATTTTGTGTGGAAAATGTTAAAAGCTTTAGTTTGTCCGCAAACTTTTGAACTTATCAAAAATTGTTATTTTGTAAACTAATTTTTAATATTTAATTAAATAATCATTATTTGCTCAAAGCTTAATTGTTAATATGAAAACCTTTTAATTGGTAATATATGATGATAAAATGATAGCTCAGGTGGTGTATGCGCTGAAATATTAGTAAAATTTAATTTTTTTATGCCTGTCTGCAAACTTTTGGACGCTACTGTATATGTATATGTACTGTATATGATAATATTTAAAATTTTAATGTTTAGCTACTGGAGACGGATTTTAAAATTGTGGTTTTGTTAAAAATTAATCTTTTTTAATTAAAGTTTAATTTTTGAAAAGTTCACCCTAATTTTATCACCCTATGTAGCACAATTTTTTTTCTGGTTTCTAAGTGTTATATTTCAATTGCTTATCTCTAAAGTATGTGAAAAAATGACTTCATTAGAAACAAACTTTGCTTACATGACAACAACACAAAGAAAATTTGTTTTTTTGTGAAAATGAACAATTTTTTTTATTTTTGTCATTATGATCAAGTAAAAATAAAAATTGCACAATGAATAGACAAACTCAGTCAGAAACCACTCAACAAGGAACATATATGTTTAGGTTTTCTAGATTTACGATTGTACTGTGAATCACTCTCTCGAAGTAGCCCACAGTTGTTGACCCCCTCATGTTTTTGTTGTGCAATAATGCACCTTTTTCACAGCTGTCACTCAGCAACATTTTGACACTGGTGTAGTCCTCTTTAAGATGTACAGAGTGGGTCATTTAGAGAAACAGAGTGTTGTTTCCATTGTGAAGCAACTCGGCTTTGAGGCTTGGGGATGAACTGTCTATGAATAGGCGCCATTAAATAGGATTAAATGCAATACATATAGCCTCGAATAGACCAGCAACATCATTGCAGAAGCACAGCCCATCATGCTGACTGAATAGGTTGGAGAATTTTTAATGGCGTTTGCTCTGATCTGTGACTTGTATGCTTATGACAAAACTTTGTAAACTAAAACTCCTTGAAATGAGCTAGATCTAAAGCATTGAAATTTTATGAAAATAAATCTAAGAAAATTACATCTAAGCGAGAAGCAACTGTTCAGTTTACCTTTAAGTGTTTTCTTGCAATATTCACATGTGAAATGCGATGCCCGAGATTTAGTCTTGCTCTCCAGTCAGCACTTCTAAGTATGTCTCGTAGGCCTTGCACATTATACTCGCTTCCACAGAATACTTTTTTTGCTCTTGTCTTTATAAATTGTTCACACACATAACATAATGAATCAGTTGGATGCTAACAACTTCTTGATGCCATATCAAATAAATACCTTCTCTTCAATCATGAATTATTATCCTTTCAGTCTGCAATAACACTAATCGGAATCTTGGTTCAAGACACCTGTGCTTTTATATTTGTACAGCTACTTTTGGAACCTTGAAGAACATTCTAAAAAGTTCTGAGAGTTTCTTGAAAGTTCTGGAAGCTTCTTGAACTTTCTAGAGTGTTTTGGAGAACTGTAGAAACATCTGGACAACTCTAGCAGTTCAGGAATATTATAGGAAGAAGCTTGGAACAAAATTGAAAATTTCTTAGATAGTGTTATTTAAAAATGTTTTTCAGCTATTATCAGTAAATAATTATTGAAAACAAATTATTACTTTTAACTACAAAACCATATCTGCTCAGAAAAAATTTAAAACTTATGTTTAAACAGTAACCATTATAAGACATTAGTTCAAAATTAATTTTTTTTTATTTATAACTGTATTAAATTGTAGAAGCACATAAAATATTAGGTAGCAATATTTTATTATAAATATTAGGTAGCAATATTTTACTATAAATATTAAGTAGCAATATTTTATTATAAATATTAGGTAGCAATATTTTATTATAAATATTAGGTAGCAATATTTTATTATAAATATTAGGTAACAATATTTTATAAATATTAACAATAAGCTGATTTCTGATACTATGAATAAAATAACTATGAAATACAGTTTTACTATCAATTAATAGGCATACGTAAAACATTAATGATGATATCACTTTAAGGAGAGAGTGATTTTTTTATTGTGCCACAAACCAATATTTTATATGTAACTGACATAGTCACAGTTCTTGGTTAATAACACCATTTTTATTATTTTTCAGAAATGTTCTTTGGTCAGAGTTCAAATCTAATGAAACCATTAACTATTTTTTTATTAACTAATTTTTCATCCAAATATATATATATATATATATATATATATATATATATATATATATATATATATATATATATATATATATATATTCTGAGCTTTTCATATATTACTTTTAGCATTTTGTCTAATATTTCTTTGTAAAACTCTTTGAACTGAAGCAAAGATAACTCTTTGCTTCAGTTTGGTTTAGAAAAATCTAAATTTAGAATAATTTAATCTGAAGCACTTTTGCTATCAATTTATGAGTTTTGATTATTAGTGTATTTTATCTTCAATTTTAGAAACTTCAAAAAGTCACTAAGTGATGTAATACTTTCTCGTCGTGCTATTACTTATATGAATACAAGGTACAAATTTGTTCAAAAACTTTATTAGATATTTGATTTTACTCAAACTGAAAAAAGTTTATATAAATTTGTATAATTTATTTAAAAATTAAAATTGATTTGTAAAATGTATAATTCATTACATAACATAAAAATTATTGCACTATAATTTAGTGCGTAATAATAATAATAATAATAATAATAATAATATATATATATATATATATATATATATATATATATATATATATATATATATATATATATATATATATATATATATATATATATATATATATATATATATATATATATAATCAATAAAAAAAATACCATAATAGTTTTTCTGGTTCCTTTTGATATCTGTATTAAAAATATATAATTTTTTTTTTTATGGGTACTCCTATGGTCGGTCCCAGCAGTCCAAAATTTTGAAAATTTCGACTTTTCAAAATTTTGGACTGGTAGGCTTTGCTGTTTGAGCTAATTTAAGAGCTAATTTATGTAGCTGATCTACAGGTAAGCATTTATCATCAAGACACATAACCACAAATCTTTTATTTAAATACCAATTGTGTTTTTCAAGTGACTTTAGTACGGCCTCTGCTGGTTTAAGACATAATTCAGAATATTGTATCATTTCATTAATGGCTTTTAGATCTAAAAAAGGTGCTATGGCAGGGATAGGAGCTTTAATAAACCATGGAACATACAATAGTGCTGTAAATGAACCAATTTCATGAATCAGCTTTCCCTCTTGTAATGATATTATATCAGGACATAAGTTACTGAATTGTGGCTGTAGAATGTTGTATGTTTAATAATAAACGCCCTGTGCCATAAACCTGGCATGATGTGAAGCCATTGGAAATCTAAAGTGAAAATCTTTTACTTTGCCACCTAACCAAAGAACTGCTAACTGTATAAAATACTTGTAGTCATTTCTTGGAAATATATCATTATCGAGGCAATTTTGAAGGAATGTTAATGATTCAGAAGCCTAAAATAAAAAATAAAGTTTATTATTAAAACTTATAATCAAACAGATTAATCTAATTAGGACAATCAAACCAACCTGCTTTTCCAAAAAAGATTTAATTTTTTTTTTCTGAGTCAAATCTCTTTAGGTTATCATAATTTATCTTCTTTTCAAGAATCGATTCCCAATTACACTTTAGCCTTTCAAATAACTCAGTCTTTGGTCCACTTGTTTTACCTCCAGTAAGAACACTTGAAAAGTGCTAAAATATATTTATTTCAAATTTTAATAATAAGGTAAATCGTTATTAAATTCATCGAGAAATATTAAATAAATAAATAAATATAAAAATATTTTATGACTTCTTTTCAATATTTACCTTTATATGTAATTCGTAGACATGATGACGACAAGTCATCCAAATCAAAGCTTTTCCTCTCCACTGCTCAATAAGAGTACAGACTCCTTTTAGCCAATCAGTATTTGTGACTGTGGTGTCAAAGGACAGACAATCAACATAGTCAAATTGCTCTTAGTCTTGTAAAGTTTTTTTGATTGCTTTCCCAAGAGACTCAGCAGTGCCATCTTTCACAATTAAAATACCCAAAAGTTGGGATTCTGAAAGATCTGGTGAACTGATTAGCACAGCTAATCTTTCAACTTTTTCTTTATCAATTTCTCTCAATTCTACCATAATTTTGGAATCAAAATGCACGGTAAGACTTTAACCCTTAGCCAATATAACAAAGTTGTCTTTAATTTTACAGGCAGTTGTACTTATACTTGATTTTTTCTGTCTCAAAATACTTTGTTTAGAAATAGAAAAATCATCTGTTGTTTCAGAACTGTTATTTATAAGAGAAGCAAGAGTTGCACTCAGTGCAGTCGAACTTATTCCATATCGTGATGCTGTTGGAGCTAAATCTTTTCCTATATTTTTAGGAACTATAAGAGGAACAGCATTAGATTTTTTAATTTTTATAGAAGGCTGTAGATACTGTTCATCTTGGTCATTATCTAAAGTATTTAAATTTTTGATTGTGTTATCAAATTTCTCAGTAACCAACTCAAAATATATATATATATATATATATATATATATATATATATATATATATATATATATATATATATATATATATATATATTATATATATATATATATATATATATATATATTTATATATATACTATACTATACTATACTCGATCCATAGGTTAAGTTGCAATTTCCTAATATTGTTTTTGCGCTCTAAACATAAAAACGTGTGTTTTTTATATTTTTTATAGAAAAAAATAAAGAATAGTGAAAGGAAAGATTGCTGCCCCTGCCAAACCCTTAGTTGTTGTAGCAACATTCCGTTGCGGGTCAGGCTATTTGTCATTTAATGAAGCCGTCGCAACTTCCTGTTTTTGTGACATCTGCATGCGTCTATTGCTGCATTTATATATGGATGATTAAGTGCCAAACCTCCCTATGCAACAAAGTTGAAAAAAATGAATTTATGTTAAAAAAAGATTTATGTAGTATTTTTTTGCTAACCTCGATATACTATGATTAAAATTTTTAAGTGCACTAAACTGCAAATACTTTTAATTTTTTCGGTTTAATGGTTTTTGTTAAAGACTTTTAAACTTTGCGTCTAATTATTTTGTTTCGACATTTTCTTTGTATAGGCAGGTTTGGCGCGTAACCATCCATATGTGTACACTGCATCATTAGCTATAATAAAAATTGTTACAAAGAAAATCATTATAATAAAAATGAACCATTAAAAAACTTACCTTAAAAAGAGCATGAGAAAATATGAAATAGGTTTTAAATGTTGTTGTCACATTATCTAATTATCACATTATCTATCACATCAATCTAATTAAAAATGGCCCCAAGCTTTGTTGTCACGTTATCACCATCATCCTTATTAAGAACATTTTTGCCACTTGCCAACTCTTGTCAAGCTTTAACTCTGTTTATTTCAAGCGATTTTTTATATAATATGATATTCTGAAGCAATTGATATGGTTTTGGGATTTAATCAGTCAAATGTACCTTGGCATGGTTCGGAATGTTCAGTAGCACCCGAACCGGACTATTTTCCTTTTATACAATTTTTCTTATGCTCAATACATCTTGATATAATTTTGATGCCTGTGTTTGTATTTTGAGGAAGTCTTGTCTTATTGTTGCAGAATATATTGTTAAAATTTGGAGCTGTGTGAATATAACTTTTTTGTTTTGTTTTTTAAATTCTTTTCTAAGTTAGGGACCAACAATTGATAACCATGGTAGCTTTATAAATGGTTGGTTGTCAGTTGATTGATTTCTGGCAATAACATTTAGATTGTTCTTGTAAAGTAACAATCTAACTAATATCGCAGATGTAACTACTACATATCCCGATGTATAGCTTTTAAATATGTAACTACTACATAGCTGTTATTTAAATATTATTAAACCAAAAAAAAAATTTAAATAAAAAATAATTTTAAAAGTATTAATACAATATTAATTTAAAAGTATACGCTTTTTTTATGTAACCAAGATCACATTAAAAAAGATTATAAACAAAATTCTTTTTTTTTTTGTGTGTGCAACATAGTTTTTGAGTTTACCTCAGAAAACGAAAATATCCAAATGTATTTATATGAGTGTCTATCGACGCTCCAAAATTAAATAGATTCCTAATATTATTTTTAAAAAAATTAATATATATATATATATATATATATATATATATATATATATATATATATATGTGATATATATATATATATATATATATATATATATATATATATATATATATATATATATATATATATATATATATATATATATATATATATATATATATATATATATATTAGAGTTAGAACATAAAAAATTTATGAACATTTAGTAGAAATTAATTTAAATACTGATTAAGAAAATCACATTTATTTTGTACAATTCAAAATAAAAGTCATGTACCCAAATACTTGATGACTTGGTGGGTGCCATATATTACCAAAGATTTTTCTCTTAAAGTTTTAAAAGAGGCAAAATTTTATAGAAAGTTTAAAAAAATTATTTTTTTTAAATAAAAATCCGTTTTTTTTAATTATCTTAATTGAAATTTTTTCAAATCTGTTTTAAAAAAATTAACATTTTCAAACGAAAATTTAAAAAATACATTTTTTAAGACGTTTTTATACATTATTTGATTTAAGGTTACATTTCGATAAAGATTGATATTAAAATTTCTATAAAATTACATATTAAGACATTTTATTTTTTTAGATCAAACTTGTATATCAAGTTAAGAGAAAAATATTTTTGGTAATATATGGCACCTACCATGTCATCAGGTGTCTCAGTGCATTACATTTTTGAAATTTTTTTGTTATTTTTAATAATATGGGAAATGAGAAATAACTATAAAGTATTCATAGTCATATCCATACAGCATTGGCAACCATTATTTACCAATGCTGTAGATTTATGTTTCCATAATATAACCTTAGATCTGAAACAATAATATCTCTTAAAATGTTTTTACATTTTGTTTGTAACTTTTAAATATTTGTTAGAAAGTAATTGTAAGTAAACTGTGAATATTTTAGGTTTCCTGATGCCACAGAAGAAGAGTTACTTCGATTAGAAAATACTTGCATAATTTGTCGTGAACAAATGTTGATTGGAAAGAAACTGCCTTGTAATCATATTTTTCATACATACTGTTTGCGCTCTTGGTTTCAAAGACAACAATCGTGTCCAACTTGTCGAATGGATGTGCTTTCTCAAGCAGCACAAATGGCACGTCCATCTTCTGTTCCACAGTTTTCTCCGCCTCCCCCACAGCCACAGCCTGCACCTCAAAGTAAGTAGTTTGTTTAATTTTTATGTGTGAGCAAAGAATTTTTTTGTTTTTTTTTTAGTTTAATCATTAAACTTTTTTTTAACCTTTTTTTTTTTTTTTTAACTTTCACATTACCATTCACATTTCACATTTCCATTCACCCTGTTATCAATGTGTGTTATGTTTATAGTGAAATTATAGCCAAGACCAGGAGTCCCAGCTAAAAATGAGATTTTGTTAAAACCTGGCCCCGAAAAATTATAAGATTTATATATTATAAATTTATGCTTAGATTTCCTATTTATTAAATACCGGCATATATTTATATATTTAAAAAAAAATTTTAAATTATATTTATAAAGTTTATAGATGCATTTATATATATATAAAGTATAACATGAATTTTGAATGAAAAAATATACTTCAAGATGTATATACTTTAGAGAGCTATATTTTTACTGATATTAAGATATTTGTACAAAATTTACAATAATATAAAAAAGATTGAATAAATTTAATAAAATTGAATACAAATATATACAGATTTACATATATTTGAAACTAAAGTAATACAATAAATAGCTTTAAAGTTCAATCTTAGTTTATAATTATAAAAAATTCTTAATCACTTCTGTTCATACCTGGACTACAAATAATGGCATAACATCAGCTTCCTTCTGACGCACTAAAAGATCCATTCAAGGGGGGAGATCAATCATTAGTTTTTTTGTCTGATAAAATGATGGTTGTGTTATTGCCTTTACAGATGGCGCTTCAGGCAAGTCAGAGGAGAGCTGATGTCTAGTTAGTATTCTATTCCTATATTGATATCACCTCATCTTAAGAGACAGTGATAAGGTTTGCATAAGTTTTTATCACTATAAGTATAAAGATTTTTATCTGTTTAAATTTCTATTGAGGAAAAAATAATAGATATAATTGGTAATATTGAAATTTAAGGTTACTGGATTTTCTAAATTTCAGCTTAAACTTGATTTGTTTTTTAAGGCTCTCCTTTGTTTGGGATGTCTCAAGCACAAAGTTTTAGTCCACCCAGCATGGCTCCTCCTGTTGTAAATACCACTAGTATGCCATCAGCATCTTCTACGACAACTTCTACTACAACAGGATTGTTTAGTTTCCCACCCACATTTACATTTCCACCACCTCCTGGATTTGTAAGTTTACATTTTTTTATTTTATTTTATTGTTATTGTTGTTTAATTTTAATGTTGTTTAGTTTCATTTTTTAATTTTAACTATTTAGATGAGTGACACATCATTTTTTAATTTTAACTATTTAGATGAGTGACACATCATTTTTTAATCCTAATATAAATAGAACTTCGTCTTTTGCTTCAATGAATTTAGGTCAGTCTTGGTTTTTACTTTTTTTTTTAAGTGTTTATTATAATAATATTTTTAAATTTCAATAATTTGTTAAGCTAATAATTGTTACCAAAATTGTGAGGTCTAAGTCGGGGGCAGAAAGCCATTGAAAGAAGATATTTTGGAAAGAGCTGTTGTGGCTGATTCTGTAAGTTTTAGAAAGAAGCCAAAGCATTTTAAAAATAACCAGCTCCTTCTGTTTTTGAAGATGGAGCTATATAAAGTTGTTTACTTTTTCCTTCTAGGCTTTCTGCAACATACATTTTCAATTTCCATTGTGTACTAGGTTTTTGTCAAATAAAATTCAAAAGTTTGAAGTTCATGTTTTATTCATATCGTATTCACAATTTTATTTATACCATATTTTATTCATATCATATATCATATTCATAATTTACTTTTAAAATGTATTTATACAATTTTTTTTTTTTCAAATTTTACTTTAAAATTTTTATGCATCTTATTTAAACTTAAAAATAATTTTAAAGTACTTCTTATTGTTCTTATTAAGGAATATTAACTATATTTATTATTTTTTTAGATACATACATACATACATACATAAATACATATAGTAAGCAACTGTGGTTGATATTTGACCAGGGTCAGATTTGATAAAAGATAACCAGGGCTGCATAAATATTGATACATCCTATGATATATTTTTTAATTCACCTCCTCAAGGCCGATAAGGCCATTACAGACAATGAAGCTACTTAATTGTGGTTATAACCCTCTCTCAACTCTATAACTTTGAAACACGAACCTTGGCGAACAATGCTGCTGTGTGGAGAAACAAGTTGAGTGTATACATATATATATATATATATATATATATATATATATATATATATATATATATATATATATATATATATATATATATATATATATATATATATATATATATGATTTTTGGCGATCACCATCTGATTATAAAATGCAGCGTCAACTTGTAGCATTCCAAAGAAAAGATTATAGTTTTCTTTAAAGTAGTTGAAAAAACTTCGTTTCACCAACTTTTATTGAAAAGTATTTTTCTTTAAACAGCCTATACTCAGTTGTAATATTTAAAGTGCTGTCTAGTTAGCATATAGGTTTTCCAAGATAATGGTTTTCCTTAGTTGGTTCGAGTTGCTACCTGATAAAAAGTTTGGTTTCTCCAGACAATGTTTGTTTTAATGATGTCCTCTATTGTCTACTGGGCTTTTCCCAATGATTTTCAAAGCTCGCAATCTTTCAATTTTTTATTTTTATTTTTTTATTTTTTTATGTAACAGCATGTAAACTTAAAAAAGCTTTAAAATGTACCTGCATTTGATCAGAACCCACCAGAGCTCTTTTTCTTCCTGGGTCATCTCATCTTAGGAATAAATCATGGATTGTATAAGCAAATCTTGGTCTTTAGTGTTGAAGTTATGGAAATGGTGAAATATATCTATTTGATCCTCTTTGTTAATAATCTCTAGACATTTGTTCCTCTTGCAGCTAAAAAACAAGAAATACTTTTATAGTGCGTATTACTACAAATTTTACTTGTGAAAATGTAAAACAATTAGTAACATTGAATATAAAATAACTTACCTGCAGGATCTGCCAGATCATACATATATATATATATATATATATATATATATATATATATATATATATATATATATATATATATATATATATATATATATACATATATATATATATAAATATATATATATATATATATATGTATATATATATATGTATATATGTAAATATATATATATATATATATGTATATATGTATATATATATATGTATGTATGTATGTATGTATGTATGTATGTATGTATGCATGCATGCTTGTATTGTGCATATTTTTTTTGAATTTCATAATTATTATTTATTAACTACATTATAAAATTTTTTTGATTTTGTTACATTAGGAATGGCTGGAAGCTTACCTTTTCCTCCTTTTCCAATGTTTTCTCCTCCTAATATAAACTTTGGCCAACTAACTGACGAACAGTTGAAATCTATGGAAGGTCAGGAACGTGCCAATGTGGAAGCTCGATTACGTATACTAAGAAATGTTCATACGTTGTTAGATACTGCCATTTTGCAGTTAAATCAATATTCTCAAGTTATTAATAATTTAAAGTATGTATCTTTCGGTTTTAAAATGATTAACTGTTTTTAAACAATTATATTTTAAATAGTAATGTTGTTTATAAATAAGTTTTAGGAAACTCACAAATTTCAAAATTACTGAAATTGTGGGGATAGTATAGGAAATGTCTGAAAGCTTATGTGAACATTAAAAGAAAGACAGTAAATTGTTTATTTTATGATTTTTAAGAAATTTCAAATGATCTAATATATATATATATATATATATATATATATATATATATATATATATATATATATATATATATATATATACATACATATATATACATACATGCATACATGCACACATACATACATACATACATACATACATACATACATACATACATACATACATACATACATACATACATACATACATACATACATACATATATAACGGGCGATAACTAAAAAATGAGAATAGTTCTAACCCTCTGAAATCAAACCCCAAAAGTCAAAAAAAAAGAAAAGTACTCCTATGTGAAATTATACTCTCTCTGTTTACAAACTTATCATATGTTTTGTTTTGCATAAGCTAATTCAGTTGTGTTTAAAACAATATGTACTGCGCGAGCGCATTGTAAAGTTCTATCAAATGCACGAAAATCTTGGAAAAAAGTTTACTGTGAATCATTTTAAAACCGAAAATGTTCCAGTTTGACCTATTTACCGTATTTTGCCATCCTTAACAACCAATCAATAGATGCTGCAGAAAAGCTCAAGTGTACGCAGTCAAGAAAATATTGATTCCATTTCTTCAAAAATATCCTTCAGATGGCAATTACTTGATTTTGCCGGATAAAGCATCATCGCATTATGCCAAAAAAACACAAGTCTTCTTGGAAAGCCAAAACATCCAAAATGTACCAAAAAACTGCAATCCGACAAACTTGCCTCGGTGTCGCCCAATTAAAGATTTCTTTGGATATTTGAGTTCGTTAATATACAAAAACAACTGGAGAGCTAAGAATTACAGATAATTGATTACCCAAATCAAAAGATGCATTTGTCAAATCAATATAAATGCTGTACAATGCTCCTGTTCCAACATCATGACAAAGCTACGTCGAACTGCTGATGGACCATATTTGAATGTTCCTTAATTTTTTTGTGAAGATAAGTGATGTATCTTCAATTAAAATAAATATAATTTTCATTTTCTAAACATTTGTTTTTATTATAGCCCGATATGAAAATTCTCATTTTTTAGTTATCACTTGTTATATGTTAGGCAGAAAATATAAAAAATATTCATAAACTTTTAAACCTATAGACAATTTTGAAAAAAAAAATTTTCCAAGTCATTAGATTTTGAATTTTTAATACGTGATTTGCTTTAGCAAGAAAATGTTTATTTATGTTTGCTTTTTATTTTAGCCTCTTGAATCAATCAAATAATATTCAGTCTTTTCTGAACCAACAGTCAACAGCCTCACCTACGTCTTTAAGCCCTTCCAACGTGCAAAATACTTCTAATGAAGTTCGGACATTAGGTTCCAACTCGAGTTTATTTACAAATACAAAATCTGCAACCTTTTCTACACAAATAGTTACTCCAGTTAAAGACACAATCTCAAACTGTGAGACGTCTGCAGGATCAAGTACAGATATGGAATTGAGACGCCGAAGATTAGAGCGTTTTGAAAGTTTAACTAAAGAACAAAAGAAGGATACTGATAATGTTTAGTGCTTGGATTTCTAAGTTATAAAAATAGATGAAATTTCTTACACCCGGTTTCATTATATTACTCATCTCTTTTTTTCTTACTGATTCCAGGAGTTTTCTCATTTTGAAAGTACTAGAATGTATTAATGATAAATTGTATAACATATGCTGCTTTATTTTAGTTTAAAAAAATTCGATAAAGAATGTTTCTTAGAATGTTTTGATAAATATTTTTCTAATTTTGATATATTTTTTTTATATTAAAGTGGTTTTCTGGTTTTCCAGCATAAAATTTCTTGAGGGTGAAAAAATGGATAACAGGGAAAAACATAAAAAGTGAGAAAATAATATAATTTTTTGTTTGTTTGTGAACCATCTTAAGCCATGAAAAAAATGTATATATTTTTTGTTTGAACCATCTTACGCCATCTAAGATAAGGAATATTTCCATACTTTTGTAGAATGAAAGTAAAACTTTTTACTTTAGATGTAAAACTTTAAACTAAAAGCTTGTACAATATAAAAAGTACAAAGTTTTATTAATACCACAAGAATTACACGATTTAATGAATCATACAACTCGAGCAAATTACACTCATATAAACGTTAGGCAAACCATGTTGTCCTACTTAACGAATGGTTAATAAAATCTGACAATAAACCTAAATCAGGGCAAAGAGAGAGAGAACAATTATAAATCCAAGTTAGTTTTGCTAAAGACCGTTGCCTGGTTAAAAATTTTTTGATTAGGTTTTAATAAAGTAGAATAACTCACAATATAGTAAACTTAAGTCAAAATAGATTTCAGAAACTCGCAATAGAAAATGAAACTAAACAAAGAACCTGCAAAAACACAAAAAATTACTTTAAGGGCGTATTAATACCGTGACATTGTTTGCAAACGAGCCTTAAATCATAACCGAGTGTAATAAAGATAATGAATATTGTTTGCAAACGAGCCTAAAATCATAACCGATCGTAGTAAAGATAATGCATATTGTTTGCAAACGAGCCTAAAATCATAACCGAGTGTAATAAAGATAATGAATATTAGTTTTTTAGTGTAATTTTTTAACTTTAACATCAATTTAGAGTACTTTTTATAAATTTTTAGACTTTTTTTTATAACATTTTCTATCGGCCGTGGCTGTGGCGCAGTGATTCGAGCGCTTTAAAAGAAAGATATCCAGGGTCCAGGAATCTAGGGTCCAGGTTCAAAGCTCTGAACTTCCTAGTTAATTGCTCTTCCGCGGTGTGACAAGAACTGAAACATAAGAATAATTCATAAAATTAAATGTTTTTATGTAATTACATAAACCCATTATTATGTAATTACAAGTAATTTGTTTTAAAAAGTGTCAGGCACTATTTTAAGGTATTGGCATAATAAACTTTATATACAGCTGTTTTGTTTTAGTTTTATTTTCAACCATTTTTTTTACGTGCCTGTCTTCAGGACCGGCGCGAACACATAATTTTTTACGAGGTATGAGTTAAAAAAGATGCCAACTAACTTATTTTTGATCATCATTAAATTTAATCATTCTAGACACTCGCGGAAAGTGTGGAGTTTTCCTCCATATCGGTGTATAGCTATCACTCCTAGACACAAGTGTGGAGTTATTTTGTACAATTTTGTGCAAATAACTCACATTGTGCAAATAACACATTTCTATGAAGAAGTCGAGTTAGAAAAAGTTAATTTCCACAAAAGTGTGCAAAATAACTCCACACTTGTGTCTAGGAGTGATAGCTACACACCGGTGTGGAGGAAACCTCCACACTTTCCGCAAGAGTCTAGTATAGTAATGTTGATTACTAAAGAACCAAATATAATGAACATTCGCAATAATAATTAGTTCTCGGTTAGAACTTCTTATTTATGACGTCAAAAACGCTTCTTTTTTTTTCTTCTATTGTTAAACAAATAACTTGAGTATTTCTTAAACCAGAGAATTCTTAATTTAATTAAAGATTAGTTTTCCGTTGTTTCACTGACGCCGATTTTTAACAGCCCTTTTTAAATCATTTATGTCGAACATATTTTTGTTTGTGTTAAGAAGCATTGTCGATCAACGTACATTGTGGATCTTAAATAACTTATGATCAATTTTAATTTGCTAAATGTTCGTTCATTTGATGACATGCTGCGGTAGCCATTAGGGCCATGACTTTTCAGTTTTATAGCAATAATTTTTAAAAATAATTATGTATAAAAACACATTTAATAGGTAATAATAAAAACACTTTGAAAAAAACAACAAATTTTGGAACTCGTAGATGTTTATGTGTTCCAAAAGTCCTGGATCATGTACCTATAGGTATATATATATTATAGGTATATCATCCAGGACTTTTGTAACACATAAAAATTAAAAATAATGTTAACAGCATATATGCTGTTAAGATTATTCTTAACATTTTGTTTATAGTTAGCAAAAGTTTCTTTTGCGCTTCTGATGCATTAAAAGTCTCTGATTAATCAGTAATGCCTTTGCAAGAATAAACTAACACTAAAAACTTCATATATAAAAATAATAAGTTCCATTATTATCATAAATCGTAGATGCATAACAACTTACATGGAATAATTTTATAATTTTTTTAAAGGGATCTGTATAAAGTATTTGGTACTTAACAGTGCTTTTAAAAATAAAAAAATGATTCGATAGTTGAATTATACTTTTTCAAATTCTCTGAGATAATAAAACTAAAAAATTTTTGAATTCCGATTTGTAAAATGTATGAAAATTAAATATCGTCTGAGAATATGAACTTGAATCAATATTTTTTGGCAATAGTCTTCTTCTATGAACTCTTTTAAAATCAGATTCAGAATCAATGTCTAATTGAAGCACATACTTTGTTGTACTAAATTTTTAATGACCATGTTGTCGTCATTAATACTTTAAAAAGTCTCTTTTTTTTTTTATATATTCATTTTAAATTATAAGAAAAGAAATCTGCAATTTAGTAAAATTAATCAGAAAACAAATTAAAAAGAGCTGTACGAACCGATAAATAAAACCAGTAACGGACAAAGTAGCCGTTATTATTTATCGCTATCTATATCTGATTATACTTTACTTCAAACCGGATTTTAATGTATTTCAATCATCTTTTCTTACAGCTCTCTTATTCGTTTTTTTTTTACTTTTTTTGTTTCTGTATTTTTATAAGTAACACTTTTTAATACAATTTATATTGCAACTTTTAATTTTTACATTATTATTTTTATTCAACCAGCTTCATAACCATTGTATGTTAATGTAAAAGTAAGAACGTTAGCTATTAACAGATACGCCCTGATATTCAGTTTATTAATTTGAAGCAAGATATGATTTTGAAACTGAAGCCAAACTTTTAAAAACTGCAAAAATTTGATAAACAATAATAACAATATATATATATATATATATATATATATATATATATATATATATATATATATATATATATATATATATATATATATATATATATATATATATATATATATATATATATATATATATATATATATATATATATATATATATATATATATATATATATATATATATATATATATATATATATATATATATATATATATATATATATATTTTGTTAGATCGACTTAAAGTGGCCTTTTCATTGGTAAAAACTTAACTTAAAGCGGACTTTTACTTAAAGTGGACTTTTTTGAGTCCACTTTACGTTTTTGATTAGTTTTTAGACTAAGTTAAAGCTGTTGAAAAGTTAAGAGCAAGTTTTTCTAATCGGACTATTGCTTCTATAAAGGTTTGCGGATAGGAGGTTTTGTTTTAAAAGCATAATTTTGAGTTTAAGTGTTTGTTATTTTTACCATGTATATTTCGTCACTGTACAAAAAAACACTTAAAGTGGATCTACATTTTGAGACTAGGTTTTGGGTATAAATCTTTACAATATTTAATCGAGTTTTTTAGCTCTATAAGACATCATACACCTTATACTAACCAAACTTAAATGAAATGTTAAATCTTTTTTTCTACAGATATAACATAAAAAATGCAATTAATGAGGTCGCTAACGCATAGATTTTGTTCAAAAAAAAAAAAATTATTATAAGTTAAATTAAAAGAATTTATTAACCAAGGTAAAGTTAAACTTGTTTATCTGTAAGAAAGCAATAAAATAATTTGTAAAACTAAATTTAAAGCAACTCTTACACATTATTTTTACACTTAATTTAAAGTCAATTTAAAGCAAACTTTTCAACATGTTTTGTATAAATCCATTTAAAGCGAAATTTCAAACATATTTTAAATAAATCCACTTTAAGCGAAGTTTTAAATGTTTTAAATAAGCTCACTTTAATTTAAGTTTTAAACAAATTAAGTCCATTCCAAGCGAGATTTTAAGCGTTTCAATGTAAATAAATCCAGTTTTAAATGTTTTTAATAAGCTCACTTTAAGCAACATTTTAAACAATTTAAGTAAGTCCATTTTAAGTGACGTTTTAAACGTAAATAAGTCCACTTTAAACGGACTTTTAAACGTTTCAAAATAACACTTCAAACAAAGTTTAAGCATGTTTCAGAAAGCCGATTAAGTAAAAGCGTTGAAAATAAATTATATTTATCAACATAACCAAAAAAATATATGCTAATAATCTTTATTTATCATATAACTAATGCTACGAGAACAATCTATATATTATTTTCAATTCTATTTTTATAACTTAATTACTACGGTTTTAAATATTTGAGTTCAAACTTAAAAAAAACGGGCGGTGTACAGGTATCGTTGACGTCGAAAAACGCTTTAATTTTGTTTAAATTTTAAAAAATTTAACTCCAGACTCCTTAAAATCCTATGTCTTTTTTTATATAAAAATAAATCATGGTATTGCACCGTAATAGTAATAATAATAATAGCAATAATAATATATTATACTAATATATTATACTAATATAAGATAAAAAAATAATAATAATACAAATTATAGTAATAAAAAAGTATGCTTACAATATTTGCAATGAAAAAAACAATAATAATAACTAATATTATGATGGTAGTTATCACCATAAATGTTTTTTT